GCCTCTTGGGCCGTCTTGGACGCGGTGAAAGCTGAAGAAGCGAACCTCCGAAACAAAAATATACGTTTTCCCTCCAGGAATGGGGGGATTTTTGCTTCTCGGGGCTCTCTTGGAATGCCTCTTGGAGTGTCTTGGGGTGCTTCTGGGCCCTCCTGGTATAATGGTCGGCGTCTCGGAAGGCGTCCGAAGCCATCGGAGCGCGCTTTCGACCTACACGATCCAAGCCTCTCCGGATCTCGTCGGCTGAAAAAATTCAGAAGCGCAGAGAAACCGGGGCATCTAAGCGTCCACGCCGAGAATCTCCGCTCCTACACGATCCCATGCTCTCCGAAACATGTCGGCTGCAAGAATTCAGGAGCGCAAAGAAACCGGGGCATCTAAACGTCCACGCCGAGAATCTCCGCTCCTCCCACACGACCCCATGCTCTCCGAAGCATGTCGGCTGCAAGAATTCAGGAGCGCGGAGAAACCGGGGCATCTAAACGTCCACGCCGAGAATCTCCGCTCCTCCTACACGATCCCATGCTCTCCGAAGCATGTCGGCTGCAAGAACTCAGAAGCGCAGAGAAACCGGGGCATCTAACTAAACGTCCACGCCAAGAATCTCCGCCCCCCCTACACGATCCCATGCTCTCCGAAGCACGCCGGCTGCAGGAATTCAGGGGCGCAGAGAAACCGGGGCATCTAAACGTCCACGCCGAGAATCTCCGCTCCTCCTACACGACCCCACGCTCTCCGAAGCACGTCGGCTGCAAGAATTCAGGAGCGCAGAGAAACCGGGGCATCTAAACGCCCACGCCGAGAATCTCCGCACCTCCTACACGATCCCACGCTCTCCGAAGCATGTCGGCTGCAAGAAATCAGAAGCGCAGAGAAACCCTCGAGTCCATTGAGGCAACATCCCGTCTTCAGTCTCACTCTACCCAGGGATAGTGTCCCCAGTAACACGTCTGGGCCGACGGCCTCCGCGCCGTGCATCATCGCCCCCAGGCTTTGCTCCGCCATTCTGGCATCGGTTGCAACTCGTCCAAGAACTTGCGGTCCTCGGCGGATATCGCTCCGTCGCTGCCCGGCCAACGTTTCTCTCCGAAAAAGACGGGGTCAGCGGGCATTGGGCCTGGTGAATGCGGCAATGGCACTTGCACTTTCGCTGGTTCTTCTGCAGTGCTTTGCGCAGGTGGCGCACTCTTTCTTCGACGTCAGCGACGCACTCCTTGCACTGTAGCTTCATGCGGTTGTGATGCTTGCGGTTGCACAGTAGCGTTTTGTTGAACTTACGGGCGCCGAACCTGCAAGTGCACCTCTGGCGCGCGTACGTCTCCAGATCCGTCGGGTCGAATCCCAGAGCACGGCATGCTTTGCAGACCAAAGTTGTGCCCTGTGAAGACGCGTGATTCTTGCGGTCAGACTTCGACCAGTACTTCGTTGTACATTTCCCACACCGCAGCTTCGTCTGACAGTCCAGGCACACCAAACGGGACTTCTCTTGCCTCTTCGCGTTGTACAACACGTGCTTGTCGAACGCAAGGCTGCCCAAGTGCTCCAAGCAATCTTCGCACTGGTGCTCCTCGATGTTGCCAGGCGCGAACCCTTTCTCTGCGCAGCCGGGGCACACGAGGTCTCTATCGACAGACCGATGATGTCTCAGAATATTCGGGCCCCACACACCTTCGGCAAAAAAATCTTTGCAAGCAGCGCACCCGTGGCTCTGCGGGGTCAGGCTCCTCTTCCAGTCATCACGTTCCACACGCCGCTTGCATATTGAATGATCTGGCGGGATTCTCCTTGGAGCGTTGCCATCGGCCACCCCTTGGGAAGCCTCGGGCGCCCGCGCAGACGGACAAGGCATTGGGCAGCTCTCGCGCGCGCAATCCATGCATCTCGTCCACCTCCCTTGCGACACATACTTCTCGTAGAAGTCGGCGGCTGTTTTCATGCCGAAGTCGCGAGCGTCGAGCATGTACTCCTGCTTCCCTTTGAGGTAGCAGCAGGCGCACAGGTGCTGCCTCGCCATGGGGTCCATCTTCTCACACTCAGCGGCCTCGTCATCAAGCGTACTCCATTCATGGATCGCCTCGTCTGCTGTGATCTGGCCAGACAGCTTCCGCATCAGACGTTCGGGCCCCACTGGGTTGCCGAGGCCGAACAGAAAAGTGGAGAACGGCTGCATGACGCAGATGTTTGACAATCGCTTCACTCTGGACAAGCATACGTAGGCAGCAATCTGAGCTGTCATGGACGCCCTGCTGGACCAATGCTGCAGGTCCGCGAATGCCGCTTCCAACGTCGCCCCCTGGATCATGTGAGCGGTGGACGCGAAGTCGGGAAGAATCCAGAAGCCCGTGCGTCGAGCTTCGATGCCCGTGTGCTTGTTGACCTTCCAGGTCCTGGATCTTCGCTTCAACGGGTATACGCCCGTCGGCAGCTTCCCTATTGTCCATTGTGCTTCTGGGGAATGGATGTAGATCACCAAGGGCAACCTATCCAATATGAACTCGCCATCGATCTCCTGGGGACTGCACTCCGGCGCCAAAGTCCATCCGTAAATCACTCCCTTTCGGTGTCTGTAGAGTTGTCTGCTTCGATCGACGTTGTCCGTCAACCGAATGGGCATGCCTTTGGCCAATGGCTAGATGCTCGGAATGTTGCCCGTCTCCTGGTCGTGCCTCTTCAGCCAGGAGAACAACTTCGGCATGCTTCGCGAGAGTTGCTGCTGTGAGATGGGCTGGTGGGGATACGCGAAGCGTAAAGAATTCTGCTGTTCTCGCAGTCGATGTCGCATTCGCGATGAAAGTCGCAGTGGCAAAGGCAGTCGCAGTCACAGCCTCAGCCTCAGCCTGCCTCAGCCTCGGCCTCAGCCTGCCTCAGCCTCAGCCTCAGCCTGCTTCAGCCTCAGCCTCAGTCTGCCTTCAGCCTCGGCGTCAGCCTCAGGCTGCCTCAGCCTCAGCCTGCATCAGCCTCAGCCTCAGCCTCAGCCTGCCTCAGCATCAGCCTGCCTCAGCCTCAGCCTCAGCCTGCCTCAGCCTCAGCCTCAGCCTGCTTCAGCCTCAGCCTCAGTCTGCCTTCAGCCTCGGCCTCAGCCTCAGCCTGCCTCAGCCTCAGCCTGCATCAGCCTCAGCCTCAGCCTCAGCCTGCCTCAGCATCAGCCTGCCTCAGCCTCAGCCTCAGCCTGCCTCAGCCTCAGCCTCAGCCTGCTTCAGCCTCAGCATCAGTCTGCCTTCTGCCTCGGCCTCAGCCTCCGCCTGCCTCAGCCTCGGCCTGCATCAGCCTCAGCCTCAGCCTCAGCCTGCCTCAGCATCAGCCTGCCTCAGCCTCAGCCTCAGCCTGCCTCAGCCTCAGCCTCAGCCTGCTTCAGCCTCAGCCTCAGTCTGCCTTCAGCCTCGGCCTCAGCCTCAGCCTGCCTCGGCCTCACCCTGCATCAGCCTCAGCCTCAGCCTCAGCCTGCCTCAGCATCAGCTGCCTCAGCCTCAGCCTCAGCCTGCGCAGGCGCTCAGCCTCGCCTCAGTTTTTTGGCCCTTCAGCCTCTGGCCTCAGCCTCAGCTGCCTCAGCAGCCTGCATCCGACTGAGCCCAGCTCTCGCCTGCCTCAGCAAAAATTATTCAGCGACTGCTTCAGCCTCAGACCTCAGTCTCAGCCTGCTTCAGCCTGAGCCTCAGTCTGTCTTCAACGCCTCGACCGCAGCATCAGCCTGCCGCGCCTCAGCCTGCCTCCGCCTCAGCCTCGCCTGCTATCTTGCCTCAGCATTCAAAATGTGGGCCCGGGAATGGAGTTCTGGGCACTCGAAGAGCACGAAGTGGCCTACAGTTGGCTCCGGGCATTCAAAATGTGGCCCGGGAATGGAGTTCTGGGAACTCGAAGAGCACGAAGTGGCCTACAGTTGGCTCCGGGCATTCAAAATGTGGCCCGGGAATGGAGTTCTGGGAACTCGAAGAGCACGAAGTGGCCGACAGTTGGCTCCGGGCATTCAAAATGTGGCCCGGGAATGGAGTTCTGGGGACTCGAAGACCACGAAGTGGCCTACAGTTGGCTCCGGGCATTCAAAATGTGGCCCGGGAATGGAGTTCTGGGAAGTCGAAGAGCACGAAGTGGCCTACAGTTGGCTCTGGGCATCCAAAATGTTGCCCGGGAAAGGAGTTCTGGGAAGTCGAAGAGCACGAAGTGGCCTACAGTTGGCTCCGGGCGTTCAAAATGTGGCCCGGGAATGGAGTTTTGGGAGGTCGAAGAGCACGAAGTGTGTGACTGTTTGCTTAAAACGAGCCCGGCCCTGAGCCCGGCCCTCGCTGTCCGGATGCCGCCCAGACCTCCCTTCTGAGTCATCAGATGCTCTCTTTTGACACCACTAGAAGCCTATCAGTCTTTTTTTTTTTTTTTTTTACTTTTTTTTTTTTTTTTTTTTTTTTTTTTTTTTTTTTTCTTCCTTGTTTTTTATTTTTTTTTTTTTTATTTCCCTATTTTATTTTATTTTTATTTGTTTCGCTGTTAGGTAACAATACGAACATGGTTTTTCGGAGGCGGCCCGCTGCAGGCACCGCCAGGAGGGTCCCGGCGCCGAACCACGACTAGACAAGCGCGTTCTACGAATTACTCTCAAAGTAACTACTTGCAAATGGCCTGGATCCGCCATGGGGGATTTGTGATACATTACATCGATGCAGGCATTTGTTTTCCGGACGGTCCGAGTAGAAACTTTGCGAAAAGCGGTGCGCGCTCGGTGAGACACATCTGCGGACCTCCGTCAACTGATGCGTATGCTGGCCGCGTCCGCGAACGCTCGAGCCCACCCACCCCTCAGACCTCCAGCGTCGTGATATTTTCGCAACGTGGACTCCCAAAGGTCCGGACCCCTTCCCCAGGACCAGTTTCCCATCCTGGGCCGTGTTTCGTGTCCCATGGCACGGCGAGGGCCCCTGGAGGCCGAAAACATCCCAAAACCTCCCGTCGTGATTTTGTCGCCACGAGAAAAGGTGGGGGCCTCCCCCTGGGCGTCCCAGCAAGGGCGCCTCTGGTTGAGCGCTTTCTCGGCCTCCTCCAGCGCCTCGATGGTCATGGACGCCTTCTTGCTCATCTGCTTCGCGGCCGCGCCCGACAGGGACTGCCCGTCCCCGTCGCCGAACCTGCTCAGGCAATTCAGGGGGGGATCGTTCATCAGCCTCCACAGAAGAACAAACATCCTCCTCGCTCCTCCCCCTGCTTCTCCTTCTCTTCCTCCTCGTTCTTCCTGCTCCTCCTCCTTGCTCATCCTCGCTCCTCCTCCTCCTGCTACTCCCCAACATCGGAGTAAACAGAACCTTTCAGAAGTCCGCGCGGATTTCTTGGATCGGTGCTGGGCCCCCTCCCTGGCGCGCCAGGGGTGGCGCTGGAGGCGCCGCCAGGGGGGTCCAGCGAAACTACAGGAAATCCGCGCGAACCTCCGAAAGGTCTTCGTTGTGCTGCTGGTGTTTGTTCGACCTCATCTTGACAAGCCCGAGGCGATGACAATCTTAGGGATGTGCCCTAACCAACCCTGATGAGCTCCCCCCAAGGTCTGGTTAGGCCCCCCCCCCGCTGGACCAATGCTGTCCTGCCCTGAGCACCCATGGCCTCGTGAACGGGTCGCGACGGACTCGGAAGGTCCGAGGCAAAAGCCTGGGGAAAGCTGGGAAAGATGTGGGAAAGACCACCTCGACGGTTCAACGACTTAACCCTTAACCCTGAGGGATGGTGCCTGCGGGTAGGAAGGGATCTCAGGTTGAATTCGGATTGCCCGAAGCCCATCTGTGCACTGCCGACTACCGCTGGAAACGAAGAACTTGTGCCACCCGGCCAGCGGCAGCAGCAGCAGCAGCAACCTGAGCCCGAGAGACGCAGAAGGGCACCGCGGGAGTGGGCACACGGCACTTGCAAGCCGAGAGCGCCTGGCAGCAGAGCCGCGCCCCTGGCCTGCCCCGCGGGCCCGCCCCTGCCCCGCGGGCAGGGCACGGTCTCGTGCGCTCCTCCCGAGGGGCAAAGAAGCAGGCAAATCCTCGAGGTGGTCAGCGATGCAGGATATCGGACCTCGGGGTAGGAGCAAGGAAAGGCGACACCACCACCAGCAGCGCGAGGCGCCAGGAGGGTCCTCCTGGTGGTGTAGTCGCCCATCTCGCTGTAGACACCCCCTTATGCCCTGTCCCCAAGCTTGTGGAGACAACCCCGTATCCCCTCCTCGCTGCAGGTGGCACCGCTGGTGGTGTCGTGATTCGTTCCTCCGACAGGGCTGCGACAAGGGACCCCCCCGAAGGCCAACAAATCGTCGTCGTCGTCGCCGTCGTCGTCGTCGCCGTCGTCGTCGTCGCCGTCGTCGTTGGCCGTGAGCGTCGACACTCCACCATGACTGCTGTGGTTCGCACGTTACTTGACACTAACAACCTTAGCCAAGATGGCTACGACACTCGACTGACTGGGGGATGAGTTGGGGAATGGTCGCATGAGAAGTCATCCCCGCTCTCCACCTCCTTGTTGGCCGCTGGCCAGTCTATGTACCAAGCGGCTGCAAAAGTAATGCAGCATTCAGTGTTAGCGACAACGATCGACCCATGTGTTGGTGCGTTGTTGGACAGCTTGGGGCGTTTCTGGTCGTTTGGGGTGCAGCAAGACTTGCATGAGTGTTGCGCAAGGGTGGGGCAATTGGGCACAAAAGGTTGTCAATCATTACCCCAAGGATCCAGCATCAGAACTACCAACACGTAGCTGTTGTTGGTGTTGCTGTTGTTTCTGAAACGGGCAAATAGTTGACCCGCTTCTGAGGTCACGGACATTTTTTCTCACGTGGGGAGGGGGGGCACTACTGCCTCCTTCCGCCCTTTGTTCGAATCTTCTTGGGGATCTACTGAACCGGGTCAATCCACACCTGGGTCAGTCCGACTTTGCAGGATCCTGCAAAATCCTGCATGATGTTGCAGGATCCTGCACACAAGCCCAGGTCAGTGCACCCCTGGCCCTGCAGGATCCTGCAAGATCCGGCGCTCTGGCTGACTCCCGTTTGCATTGACCCCCGTCTCTTGACCCCCGATCTTCTCGTGCTCGCGGCCCTCTGGAGTGTGCCTCTGACTCTGCCTCGTTCACTTGCTCGTTCTTCCCTGCAGAGGTTTTGGCTGCTGTAGCCCCCGCTCTCTCACAACGTGCAGTTCGCTGAGCTCGCCATCGCGCGGACGTCCATTCCCCTTGCATCTTTCGGCTTCGTGCGTGTATGTTTTCACTAGATGGTCCCAAATTCTTCTAGATGATGGTCCTTGCCGAGAACAAATGCACAAGTCCAGGCTAGGCCAAGCGAGCGTCACTGCTAGCAGCAAGCAACCTCTCATCATTTCGGAGGGAGGGAGCCGCCCCTGGAGGCCACATGCAGCACTGCACATACCCCTCTCCGATCCCTTGCCATGCTGCGCGCACGGCCTCGGCGACGACAATGCTCCCAGCGAGTTGGTGGATGCGTTGAATGATCTCTTCTCCTCTTTCGTCTTGGACTGGCGGTATTCGCTGACGGCTTCAAACATGTGCTCGTCAGATCTGTCATCGCCAATGCAAAGCACGAAATCGAGGTTCCCGATGTGCTGCTGTATCTCAGCAAGCATTCGCTTGACGCTGATACCTTTGTTGATGTCCGAGCGTCCCACCTCTACGTAGCCTTTGCCAGCTGCAACTGTCACTGGATAACCTGGCTTGCAGGCGCAAAAGCACAATCTGGCGGGCCCACAACCTATCCCTATGAAATGACTCAGGAATTTGTAATTCGTAGACTGGCCAGCAGAGGCGACTCGAGTGAAACAGCTCTCGGCAGAGCCGTCTGAGGACAGAAGGACGCTCCCTTGAAAGGTCGGTGCGCAGGGCGCTGCTCTGGAAAGGGGGAGTAGCAGCAAGGTTCGGGGGTGCCCACAGACGTCCGCCCAGAGGCAACCCAGGCTGGCCTCCAGTCCCGAGGCTACGTAGCCCAGCGCGGCTTCAAAACCCCAAACCTGAGGCGCGGAGCGCCCCAGCGGCGGCGGGCGTGAGTGCGTGCTGGAAGAACCAGAGTGGTGACATGATGGCATCGGCGCAGCATGAGCTTCAAGAATTCTGGAGTATCTGGCGGCCCTCGGTTCTGGACACGTGCGGGGGAAAAACAGGGAGTATTGAAATCATTGGAATCTTGGAGCGTACTATTCTCATAATATCAACCTGCGTCGACTCCAAATAGGTGAGACGACTCAAAGCAAGGAATCATAAGAATCAATCATGATTGGAATCCGCAACTCAGCAAGCACGCAAGCGTGCAAGCAAGCGCGCAAGTAAACAAGCAATCAAGCAAGCAAACGTGCAAACGCGCAAGTAAGCAAGCAAGCAAGCATAGGCACAGGCGTAGGCATAGGAGTTAGGGGGAGGCATAGGCATAGGCAGAGGCATAGCCATAAGAATTAGGGGGCATAGGAATTAGGGGGGGCAACGGACCAATTAGTAGAGAATGAGTTAGAACTCCTATAGGGCAAGCCTATTTGGAGAAATCTTGCCCCACTGGCCAAAGCCCCAAAACCTGAGGCGCATAGCTGCCCAGGGGCGGCGGCGCGGCGGGGGGGGGGCTGATGCCCCCAAGCCTTACCAACTGCGCTTTTTGGGGAGGGCATACTGGTGCGTCCGAGATGGGTAAGGAAACATTGGCACACTGCCCAACAACACATGTTGCCCGCACATGGCAGCGGTCGCTGTTGGGCAGGCGACGTGCTGCTTCAGATGGCGAGGTGGACGTCGTCCGCGGCGACACCCACGGCAATCCTGATTCAACATGGACAAACACATGCTGCCGTTTCTCGCCCCCATTTGTTCCGTACCCATTCCGATCGCCCTCGTGCAGCCGTCCATGGGAGCCTTCGCATTGCGCTTAGGCTCGGCGGTGGACAAACCTCCCTTTAGTAAACCTCCCCTTACTGAAAACGGCCTGGGACCGAAACCGACGGACCTGGACCCGCAAAAATGACGGCCGCGACGCCCTCTCGCGAACCGAAAACGGCCAATTCCTTAATCGACGTGTCAGGGTAGGAGGTCTGTCCACCCGCGATAGGCGTTTGCTTTCGTTCAACTTTCGTGTCATCTCCGCTCCACTGAAGCTCCGCCGCCTCTCGGCTACGCTCAGCGTCCTCCGCAGGCCTGCCGCCATCAAAGCACCACGGCCGCGGGGGCACGAGAGCGCCGCGGCAGTTGCACGGAAAAAGGCACTCACTTTTTCTGGTTTCAAAAGGGAACGGTACCCCGTGACACGAAAGCTCCCACGAACGGCTGCACCATCGCCCCGAGCTTAGGACTGGCGGGACCACGCATGAGGCCGTCCGGCTCCTCCGGGTCCAGAAACCGCATCAGCTGCAGCGCCATCTCCTTGGCCAGGATCTGCGCGCCCACCTCGCGGTAGTTCCAGCTGATCGCGGCCCCCTTGTACTCGATGATGCTGCCCTGCACTCGCTTCGCGTACATCTTCATAAGCTCGAACACAATCTCCTGATTGGAAACGTGAAGGCCCCCGAGAGTCTCCCAAGAGGCTCCAGGAGGCCCCCACGAGGCCAACAGAGGCCCCAACAGACCCCAGAGAGGCTCCAAGACATTCCAAAATTGCCTCCATGAGGCTGCTGAAAGGCCCCCCAAGAGATCCCAGCAGGCAACCAAGCAGCCTCTGACCAACAACCCGAGCACGGTGGCGGGATGGGCCAAAGGTCACTGAAAAGCACAGCATCAACATACACGATGGGAGGTCCGCGCCGACCACAGAGATCCGCGCGGACACCAGGCAACTTGTATTTTATGCGTATGCCGTCGATTGCGTTCAGGAATTGCAAACTCACCTGGCCGATTTCAGCAGCGCGTCGCGCACCTACCGACCCGTGTCAGACGCAGGACTTGATCATGGTCGGGAGAAGTTGTCTGCGATTTGGCCACCGAAGTCCCAGAGAGATCTTCGAATCACTCACTGCGGTCTCTGTGTAAGTACCGCGAGGTCGGCGGTGCTAGTGAGTAATATGCGCTGCCCCCCTGGAAGGCAGTCAAACCCTACAGCATGTGTATTGAGGGTGCCATGATAGGGGAGGCGGACAGGAAGGAGAGGGGACGAGGAACCTTCTAGGCACCAAGAAAGCCCGCAGGCCCTTAGATCTTGCCCAGCCTGGTACTGCCAAACGTAACCTCCGAAAAACAAACTCGTCGGATCCAACAAGGTCCAGCGGAGTGTCGCGACACCCACGACTGAACGAGACCTCGCCTCCCAGGGTGCTGCCGTATGCAGATGAGCCGCAGCCTCCTGAGCCCCCAGAGGGTCCAACGGGCTGGTGCGACGGACAGATCCATATGGCCGGTTCCTGAAACCCTGAGCCTCCGACTCGTCATCGCCTGGGCAGCAGGCTCTTGCTTCCGCAGGCGGAGCCGCCTCCCAGGGTCGAGACCGTCTGGTTTTTCCAGCCGCGTCCAGACGTGGCGACGACGGGGGCCCCTGCCCCTCCATCCTGCTGGCCCGAACCAGTGGTGGGCCACCGCCGCCCCCCGGCCGGCTCCCCATGTCAACCCTTCGATCCCTGGAGGACGAGACCCTGTCTGCAAAGGCAACTAGGTTCGCGCTTCGCGCGGCGCGAAGCGTGAACAACTTCGCGCCCTCGCGCCGCCCCCCAAGGGTGAGGAGGACGACGACGGGCAGAAGTCTGAAGACTGAGGACGGCAGCAGACCACGAACCACGAAGCGCGAAGCACGTCTCGCCCTCGCTCCGGCCCCCGAAGGGCGAGGAGGGGGAGGACGACGAAGAGAACACTGAAGACTGAGGACGGCAGCAGACCACGAACCGCGAAGCGCGAAGAACTTCTCGCCCTCGCTCCGGCCCCCGAAGGGTGAGGAGGGGGAGGACGACGAAGAGAACACGGAAGACTGAGGACGGCAGCAGACCACGAACCGCGAAGCGCGAAGAACTTCGCTCAGGCGTGGCGGCCCGTGTTCCTGGAGCGGCCCATGTGGGGCTTCGCCTCCATTTGGTGCTGCCGCACGTGGAACCTTTGCCGCTGCCGCACGTGGAGCCGTGGCCCCTTGGAGAGTTTGGCGGGGTGGGGCGCCGCGCAGACCTGGGCGAGACTCCGCCTCCACAAGGGCTGCGAGCCAAAGGTATGACTGACATGTTTGTTGCTCGAATGTTCGGTAAGCGGGAGGGCCAAAAAGCGGGGGGGGGAAGAAACGTGCGCCCTCCGTGCACCTTTCGGGCACGGTGGCAGGTCTGGCGCCATCCAGGGACCCTTCGGGGCCACTTCCCTGCAATCCTTGACCTCCCCAGGCTCATTACCGCCCCCCTTGCCGCCCGCCCGACTCTTCTGGGCCCGTGGGGTCGCCTCCTGAGGCGCTGCCGAACTTGCGGCTGTCGCAGGCTCATGGGCCCCGGGGAGTCCAGAGGAGTGGGCGATTCGCTCGCGGATCGCGGATCCAGATCGGGCCTGGCCCCCCTGGACTGTCGCCAACTTCCTGAGATCCTGGGGATCCAAGAATGCGCCGCCCCACGCACATCCAGATGAGGGTGCTGTCAAGCGTGTAACTGTCCAGAGGGGAGTCCAGCGGGACGGCGTGATGAGCAAAGTCAACTGCGACCTCGCCTCCCCGAGTGCTGCCAAACATAGGCATGTCGCCACGTATGGGCCTGCCGGGTCTCCGTAGGAATGCAGGCAAACTGAATCCACCGACCCTGTCGGCGCGTGTGAGAAACTTTTCCGTTTGAGTTGTCATCGTTATCGTCGCCGCTCCCCCTCAAGCGCCGGAGGTAAATCGAGCAACGTCGTTATCGAGTCGCAAGGACAACCCCTTCCCTTTGATTCCTCCCCCGCCGGAGGGGGGGGATCAAGGGGAGGGGGTCCCAAGAGGCGTAGGGGGGAGGGGGGGTCCCGGGAGCTGTGACGCCCACCACCCGGGGCGGGGAGCACCCCTCCCTGGGAGAAGCTTGCGGCTCCAAAGCGTCAACGTAATCGTCGTCATGGCAACCGTCACCGTCGTCGTCGTCGTCGTCGCCGTCGCCGTCGCCGTCGTCGTCGTCGTCGTCGTCGTCGTCGTCGTCGTAGTCGTCGTCGTCGTCGTCGTCGTCGTCGTTCCCCCTTCTGGGTCGGCTGCTCCCGCGTGAGGCATTCACAAAGCAATCAAGCTGCTGCCATCATGGACGCCAGGTTACGACCGAAGCCCATTTTGCCGCCCAACAGCGCCCAATTGCATGAGGAATGCTGGAGGAACAGCCGTGGAAGGACCCAGGGTGCAGCGAGCCCTTCCGGAACCAAACAGCTCCTTATCTCGATAGATCCCCAAACCCGTCGAAGCCCAAACGCACCAATTTCCCGAGCTGCGTCCAACCGTGGCGACGATGCAGCTCAGCCCTACCCACCTGGTGCCGCTTCAGCGCTGCGCCCAGCCCCTGTCGCGGATGCCGCGCCAGGGCCGTGGCACTACAGAGTCGGTCCACCTGGTGGATTCAATATTTTGCTGATGGCAGTTCTCGGACTCCTGGACTAGTCCTGCTTGCTCGCCATCGCCACTGCGCCCTGGCAGCGCCCGCGGGTGCGCCCTGGCCTCGGCCCCGGCTGTTGCCGCGGTCCCCGCTGCCCCGGCTGGCTGCTCCGGCCTGCTCGTCGCGGAACTCTTCCACGTCTGAGCGCTTCCCCCCTCCTCCCCTCGCGCGGCGGCCCTCGTCTTCTTTCCTCCCTATTGCACGCCCGACAATTCGCCTTTCGGCTGCCCCGATTCGCCCCACGCTGGGGCGGACTGCCTCTGCCCCGCCGCCAACGGACCAAGGTGAGTGTGTGTGTGTGACACCACCACCTGTCCATATCGACGGCGGTCGGGCCCAAACCTGGTCTCGTCAGGCAAACCTATCCGTCGCAAAGGGCTGGGGGCTACGGGCGTCGACGCCCTGTATGGGCCGGGCGCTTGCGCGAGCACCCTGGACGCTGTCCCTGAGATCATGTCTACGCGACGGGCGTTTTCGCCCCGTTTGGGGGCCCTGGGACCCTCACATATCGATTGGACTCGAAAAATGATGCAGAAAGATGGGGTCCAGGGCTCTGGTCGTGAACTTTTGGGATGCTGCAGTTTGTTCGCAAGTTCGGATCTCAGGGGTTGACCTGCGAAATGCAGATTCGCCTCGGTGGGCGGCCACCGGTGTCAGGAAGGGGGCGCGCATGGGCTGAGAGGTCTCATGGGAGGTCTGCGCAATAACTACGACAATCGATTTTAGGCTCGTTTAGAAAGCCATGGAACTGGTTTAGCGCAGATTCGGCCAAAGGATAATAATCCCCACTGGGTTAGACTACAATAGGGGCCCAACCACAAGAACCCTGCCACAAGAAACCCAACCCTGAGACCCCATGACGTACATTGATTTGTGGTGTGGGAGCGTTACGCTTCCCATAGCAAAGCCATCGAGAACCCAAGGAACCCAGAGCACCCTGGAGGCAAGCAGGGTGTTGCTTGGCATGGGTCTCCACTGTTGGCGGAATTAAGCAAGCCGTGTTTCGACCACGGATATACCAGCGCCGATGCTGCATGAAACCTCCCAGGAGCTGCATCCGAATAGTATATTAGATTAACTCGCTGGCTTCCTCTGGGCCTAGGAGGCGGGTTGGGGAGGTTGAAGGTGCATCGAAGGTCGCCCAGTCCTGCCTGGCGCGGCCTGAACAGCCCCGAGGGGGCAGCCCGAGACTGTGGCCCGAGGCCGCCTCGTGCCCTCAAAGAAATGGCGGACAATGACCACCCAACAAGTTTGCAAATGCTTCCCGGTCGCCATGGGTCCCAGGAGGTCACGACAGAGCCTGCGAGGGATCCGCAGGGGATCCGAGTGGAACGGCAACCCTGAACGCCAGCGGCACAAGACGTTCTCGTCACACCTCCAGTGTCGAGAAGACGTCATGACAAGCACTCCTTCTCCAGCCATGAACGACCAAGGTCAGCACCGCCCAAACGGGCAATTCCTCAATGGAGCCGAGCTCGGGTCGACGAAGACGGGTTGCGCTTTCTCGCCACTCTCCTGCGCCACCCGACAAGAACGCGACGCGTTCCTGACACATTCCTGCCACTACCGTTGCGGTGCCGAATTGCTCACTGCTGGGTACCCATCTTGGAGGATGTGGCCAGAGCGACAAGCCGTGGCGACGTGGTGAAAGAAACACGGCGTCAGATGCCTACCTCTCGCTACCCCTTGCTCAGATGTCCGTCCTCGTCCTTGGCGGCGCGTACAAGGGGGGTGGCCGTATAAGAGGTCGTGGCGGGGGGTTCTTAGAAGATATGGGCCTTCTTGGAAGGGCCTCTATACTTCGAGTAAGGCTACTTGAAAACCAGGATGCTTCTGAGAAGCCCCCTGCCTGTGAAGAAGTTTCCCGTCTTTCTTGAATGCAGCCCCCATCGCGACACCCTCGCGTGCGCGCCGCCAATTTCCCTCATTCCATCTGTGCCCAACACCTCTGCGGTCGGTCTTTCCCTTTTCACTCATCCCGACACTGCCGACCCGAGCTGAGTGAGCAACCCTCCGGCACTGTCCTTCCAGTCGGCATCGTCGGTGGTGCTGGCCGAGGAACACTTCCAGCGGTCCGAGCCCTCGCTGCCGCCGCCCTTCGCCCTGCTGGCTTTCTCGATCCGCCCTGGATCCTGGTAATAGAACCTTAATGGCAACGAACAGATCAATAGCCCTGCCCTGATGGTCTGGAATCCGAAGCGCGATCCCATGGATACAGGGCTCACGGATGCGTACCGTTCGGAGCATCCGCGCAAAGCTGCCCTGACTTCATGGGGACGCGGCACCAATCTCCAGACCGCGAGGCAATGGGAAACAAATACGTATGTTCCTCCCCCCTCGAGAACCCGTACTCCGCGCAGAGGCCAAGCCCCTCTACTTGGGAGAGCCCGACCCTGTCCAGGAACTCGGGGCTGCGGCCGCTGATGACGACCACCGAGTTCAGCGGGTCTTTGGCGAGCAAGCGCAAACAATCCATCACTTTCGGATCGAGCGCATTGCCGTCCTGGGGCAATCTGCGTTGACAAGACGTGTGGGGACCAACCGTGCAAGACACGAATCACAAAACAACACGTCGCCATGGCCCGACCGTCCAGCGCCCAAACGGCAACCGCAAATTAAACGCTGCCCCGAAGAAACTGTGAGGGCAAACTACGTTGGGTCCTACCCGTCTACGTGCGCCATAGGTTCCCCTCGGGACGACGAGCCTCGGAGCTGGCCCAAGCGGCACTGATGATCGCCTGAAGACGGCACACCATACGAATATGCTGCCCAACCAATCCCAAAAGATCCCCAAGAAATCCCCACGATGCCCCCAGCAGACTCACAGGAGGTCCCCTGGGCGATCCAAGACGCCGCCTAAGAGGGCCTTCAGACACGATGTTCTAAACATGTGATCGAGGTTGGTGGAGCAAGAGGGCCTATAGGATATATGATCGGGGCGTTCGGGAGCTGCCAGCCCTGCTCGAACCGCCAGAGACTCACGAGGTACGCCTGGGGACCATGTTTCAGACCCAAACTGTAATGGCTATGCTCCCTTGTGTAGAGCTGGTTGGACTCAGGGTTGCAAAATGGCAACACCCCAGTACATCGAACGCGTCAAATGTTGGGGCTGCCCTCCTCCCCTCGTACCCGCTCCCACGGAAAGCCAACGCGTCGTTGAGAAGGTGGACCAAATAATCCACGCCAACGCATATGGAGGACCTCGACCCCTCCACTTGCATCCCACCAACGCTCCCACGCGGCCATGGGCCATGCCCCCCAAGGAAGTACACAATTGACGGCAAACATCCCTCAACTGCGTGTGAAAATACGAATATACAGATCACGTCGACCACACAACTTCCGGCCGCGTCGCCGCTTGGATCAAATTATGGGGGTCGGCGGATGTGGCGTACGGTCAACCTTTGTAATAAGGATGCGAGGTAAGGATGCAAAGGCCTTGGAAGGCCATGTCTACACTTTGCGAGCGGGGCGCGGCCAGCGACAGCGGCCAAGGACAAGCCGAAGGGGAAGGATGCAAAGGCAATCTTAGAACATTGCTCACCCTTTTTGTGCCGGTTTGGCTGTGAGCCTGTACAACCAATTCAGTGCAAACAAGCGCTTCAGCGCGACAACGAACTTCAGCACAAACGAAAATAAAGTGCACAAGCCAACAACGCTTATGGTCGTCGTTCTCGTTGGTGCGTTGGGCGCCGCACTATCCCCGAACCTGCTCAGACCTCCGCAGACTAACACTGGAAGCCAGTATTCCGAAGAGCCAGCTATAGCAGGGATGCGCAGAGCAAACTAATCATCAGGTCAAGCCAACCCACGTGCAACAAACCTCTTCACATAAAAATCGGCAGTGCCGACAAAAACTATCATCATCGTCGTGGTTGACGCGTGGGTGCCACACCGACGCACACGCGAAGCCAATACTCCGAAGCTCAAGCTAAACTCAATTAGCGCAGAGGAAAGACGCAGTGCAAAAGAGACTGTAGCTCACAAACAAGCACGCCTTTCTGTATAAGGTCGTCGATGGCGCTCTGGGCAACCTACGTTGCTGTAGCCTACTCAATCCTTTCTTGTCTCAAGCGAAACCTAGACTCCTCCGCTCAAACCCATGCTCGAACACAAATGCGCAATGCAAGTGTCAATACAATGCACAGAAAAATACGCGCTTCGGGACATGGTCGTAATCGGCGCCTAGGGCACCATACCTTCCCTGAACCTCCTCAATTCTTTCTCGACTCGCACGCGAAGCCCACGATCCTGAGCTAAGCTGAAGCCACGATTCCAGGGCTCAAGCTCAAACGACGCTGTACGATGCAAACCAAAAAACGGCAGTGCAAAAGAACACGGTGCTTCTGGTGCTTGTCGTGGTTGGCGCTCTCCGCACAATACCTCCCAGAACTTGCTTGAACCCATTCTGGCTCGAACGAGAAGCCCATAATCTTAAGACCAATGTCACTCGAGAAGCGCAGCCCAAAGCTGAGACAACAGTCTGAACTGTTCAAACCAACTTGCAACTCAACATTATCGGCGGGTTGGAGTCTTGGCGTCCATCTGTGCGCCACATGGCTAAGAATGTTCTATAGCATCTTGGCTTACACATTCGGCATCATCTCGGATTTGCAAGCGCAAGCTGTACATGTATTTGCAACTGTGGCGGCTTAGGACCAGCAACTACACATGACGGCAATGCGATTTCACTTCACCAGGAATCTGGATCCGCCTCCTCCCACTGCGTGTCCTCCTCCCTCCTCACGCTTCAAAGTATCCTTATCCTCCGACATATATGTATCATCCTGTATCTCCTCTTCCTCCTCCTCCCACTTTTCCTTGAATCAATCCTTCCTCCACTACCAAGGCTTCACCCCCCCCTCCCTTGATCTCCCCCTCCTCCTCCTCCTCCTCCTCCTCCTCCTCATCATCATCATCATCATCATCATCATCATCATCATCATCATCATCGTCATCATCATCATCATCATCATATCCTATCATCAGCATCAGCATCATCATCATCAGCAGCATCATCATCAGCATCATCATCATCCATCTTCCTCCTCCTCCTCAAGATGTTTCCTCCTCCGTTTTCTCTTCATCGTCCCTCAACCTTTCTCACTTTTCCTCTGTTCTATTCCCTCCTCTTCCTCTTCCTCCCGACTCCCGCTCCCTTCCGCTTCCATCCTCACTCCTCGCTCCGCCGATCACCTCCCTACCGTAGGCACGTCCGATAAGAACTATTTGGGAACACTCTTGGTCGATCTTTGAAGGTCCTGAAGGGCCCCAGAGCTTGCGTCGGCTCTGGAGGCAATCGTGAGATGAGGAACTTCCTTGGGTCACCTGCTGACAAACCGATGTCTTCTTTGATACAGTCGGGCCGAAGAAAAAAGAACATCCGTCAAAAACATGAGACCCTCCGCTGGCCAAGCTGGCGAACATTCGATGAGTACCCTCCCCCAGGATGCACAAGAATACCCAACAACCATATAATGCATCAGGGCACCCTCCCCGAACCGACCTCGATCTTATATCTCGCTCCAGCTGTATGCCAACTGCGCTCCTTCTTCCCTCCTCCAGTCTTTCTTCGGCTAGACGTAAGAGTGACCCTGGGTAAGAGTGACCTTTGGTGCGCAGCTTTTGGGGGCGCGAGGGAGCCAAACCCAAGGGCGCGGGCCCCTTATATCGCATCGCGCTCGGCGATCCGGGGAAGCTCGATGAACCCGCACCAAAGGTCACTCTGGCGAAGGGTCACTCTTACGTGAAACCGATCTCTACCAGACACCTTTTGACCCAGAAGGCCGGTCCTTCCGCAGGGGCAGGTTGCCGTACGGGGTGATGCCCGTGCCCACCTGCGGAGTGCCAGGGGGTGTGGGGGGGGGGGGGGCGCAAGATAAGGGAAAGGCTACACTCGGGGTGCTAACCTAAAAAACCCTGAATAAGGAACGAGGCCCCTATTTTCCGTAAGTTGAACTTCGACTTCAGATCGAAAACCTAAGGGACACCTGAGGAAAGCTGTGAAACAATTAAGGAACACGGAGCCCCTCCCCAATGAAAAGGGTTCCTTCTTCAGCGCCCCCACTGTAGTCTGCCAAGAGTTGCTCCGTGATTCTCCCGATGGTTGTCACGCCGATTGTCCCGAGAGTTGTCCCGATGGATGGCCCGATCGCTGTTCCAATGGTCCGACGGTTCTCCCGATGGTTCTACGAGAGGCCACGATACGGAAAGCATGCAATCTACGATGCCGTAAAATCGAAACATGCGCTCTGCACTGACTTCATACAAGCATGCGCCCTGTGAGACCACAGCGCCGACAAGAAAACTCCCGCTCTTCGAAACCATAATGAAAAAAAAGGCGCCCTACGAAACCAAACGCGCAAAAATGCGTTGTCCGAGGCCACCGTGCAACGAAAAGCCCGCGGCGAGGCATGTGCATGTATACATACATATATATATATATATATACATATATATATACATACAGCCCCCCCCAGCACCCACTGATTTTCATCGCGGTTCGCGCTGATCGCACTCGCATTTTCTTTACTGCCAGATTCGGTTCTCGCCCTGAGACGGCGGCATCGAATAATGAACGTCATCTGGAGAGCCAACCACTTGATCCTGCATCTCCTTCCCCTCTTTCACCTCGTCCATCCTCCTCCTCCTCCTCCTCCTCCTCATCCTCCTCCTCCTCCTCCTCCTCCTCCTCCTCCTCCTCCTCCTCCTTCTCAACCTCAGAAGATGCAAGCGTCCGCTTCCCCCGCCTTTGGGAGAACATGTATAAGATATCAGCGGCAGCGCTAACAAGAACGATAAGCGAACCATATGATTTCTCAGGCATCAGGGATGCTAAGTGACGATCGCTGTGCAGGCTCAGGGATCCCAGGGATTCCAGGGATGCGAAGTCACGATCCCTAAGCAGGCTCAGGGACCCCAGGGCTTCCAGGGATGCGAAGTCACCATCCCTGTGCAGGCTCAGGGATCCCAGGGATCCCAGGGATTCCTAACCCTCCAACAAAACCGACCTGGGGATCCACCAGCGATCCCGCGCTCAGAATCCCTGGGATCCCTGAGCCCGCACAGGGATCGCGACGTCTTTTGTCAGCAAACCATATGATTTCTCAGGGATCCCATGGATTCCAGGGATGCGAAGTCACGATCCCTGAGCAGGCTCAGGCTCAGGGACCCCAGGGATTCCAGGGATGCGAAGTCACGATCCCTGTGCAGGCTCAGGGATCCCAGGGATCCCAGGGATTCCTAATCCTCCAGCAAAACCGACTTGGGGATCCACCAGCGATCCCGCGCTCAGAATCCCTGGGATCCTTGAGCCTGCTCAGGGGTCGCGACGTCGGTGGTCAGCAAACCATATGATGTCTCAGGGATCCCAGGGATTCCAGGGATGCCAAGTCACGATCCCTGAGCAGGCTCAGGGGTCCCAGGGATTCCAGGGATGCGACGTCACCATCCCTGTGCAGGCCCAGGGATCCCAGGGATCCCAGGGATTCCTGACCCTCCAGCAAAATCGGCCTGGCGACTTCGCAAAGATTTGGGGGGTTGGGAATCCCTGGGATCATGAAACCGGCACAGGCCACGCCAAGATCGCATTCCCTGAATTCCCGGGGTCCTCGCCCTGCTCAGGGATCGTGGCTTCGCATCCCGGAATAGAATGACCTGGGATCCCTGAGAAAAAATATGGTTATTTGCTGAAAACCGACGTCGCGAATCCTTGGGCGGGCTTCAGGATCCTCAGGATCGAGCGCGGGAAATCGCTGGTGGATCCCAGGTTGGTTTGCTGGCAGGGTTCGGGACCCTGGGAATCCTGGGGATCCCTGAGCCTGCACAGGGATGGTGACGTCGCATCCTTGGATTCCCTGGGATCCCTGAGCTTGCTCAGGGATCGTGACGTGGCAACCCTGGAATCCCTGGGATCCCTGAGACATCATATGGTTTGCTGACCACCGACGTCGCGATCCCTGTGCAGGCTCAGGGACCCCAGGGATTCTGAGCGCGGGATCGCTGGTGGATCCCCAGGTCGGTTTTGCTGGAGGATTAGGAAATCACCTGGAGATCCCTGGATTACCTGAGCATGCACAGGGAGCCCGTGGGCTCCGTCCCGGAACCCCTGGGATCCGTCCCGCAGGGCCTCCCAGGGATCGTGAACTTGCAATCCCTGGGAACCCATGGAAATTCCACTGGTACCACCCGACACCCCCACCAGACAGCCCCACCGACCGGCCCCGACTCATGCCCCCGCCCCCCTGAAGCCTTCGGAGGGTGTTGTCTAAACCCTGTTGGCTTGGCAGTAGGCTTGAGACTTGCCTGATAGGGCTGTGCGACGGTTAAGTTCTGCTTGAGTCGGTGGATCGTAGGGTGATTGAGTTTCCGTGCAAGGCACTTGGGGCCTGTTTCCTATGTGGTCGTGGCTGTTTTGGCGAGGCGGGGGGTAACGGTCGCCCTGAGAAATCATATGGTTTGCTGACAACCGACGTCGCGATCCCTGAGCAGGCTCAGGGATCCCAGGGATTCTGAACGCGGGATCGCTGGTGGATCCCCAGGTCGGTTTTGTTGGAGGGTTAGGAATCCCTGGGATCCCTGGGATCCCTGAGCCTGCACAGGGATGGTGACTTCGCATCCCTGGAAGCCCTGGGGTCCCTGAGCCTGCTCAGGGATCGTGACTTCGCATCCCTGGAATCCCTGGGATCCCTGAGCCTGCACAGCGATCGTCACTCAGCACCCCTGTGCATCCCTGGAATGCCAGAGAAATCATATGGTTCGCTGATCGTTCTTGTTAGCGCTGCCGCTGATATCTTATACCTGTTCTCCCAAAGACGGGGGGAGCGGACGCTTGCATCTTCTGAGGATGCGTTAGAAAAAAAAACAGCCCGCTTGCAACACGCGACTCGGGAAGAGGAACGGAAAGGTCCTAGCAGGGAGAATGAATGAACAAAATGCAAATGAAATGAGAAAATGAACACAAAAATGTTAAATGATGAAAGAAAATACAATATAAAAAAAATCAAAAATAAAATTATAATGATAATGAATGAATAATGCGGATATATAATATGATATATGATGAATTTGAAATGATAATGATTAATTGATGATGAGAAGAATAAGAATCGAAATATGAAATAATAAAGAATGAATATAATGATGAATAGAGAAAAATGAAAAAAAATTAATATATAAGAAATAAAAAAAATTTTTTTTTTATAATTGAGATGATAAAATGAAATTAATATAAATGATTGAGAAGAGATGCGTCTACAGCTTCGTGGGAGAGGGAGAAGGCCGTAGAGGAGTAGAGTGGGTGCTGGGGGGGGGGGTGGGCGGCCCTGTCCTATATCATATATATATATATATCTATCTATGTGTATATATATGATACGCACATACATATACTCTACAACGGCGTGCGACAGAGAAGGACGGGGCAGAAGGGCCATGCAGTGCGCGAAGCGCGACAAATAACTCTTTAGCCAGAGGGTTCCACTCAAGAACGTCGCTTCTGCTGTGGAGGTCGCCACATTACAAAAGAAAAACCTGACTTACCGAGATAATCACCTCATCCCAGGGAGGGGGGGGGAGGGAAACTACAGAGCCAAAGAGGATTATGGAAACGACATCCTGTCGAGCGGTCGCCCTCGAGAACACAGCAAGAGATGTCAGGGACAGAACATTGCTACGCTCCAGTAGGCCTCTCTACACGGGCGACCAGAGCAGACGTGGGCAGAAAGGCCAGGCAGTGCGCGAAGCGCGACATATAACTCTTTAGCCAGAGGGTTCCACTCAAGAACGTCGCTTCTGCTGTGGAGTCGCCACCGTACAAGAGAAAAGCCTGAATCACCGAGATAATCACCTCATCCCGTACCCCGTAAAACGGACTGTTAGGGCAGGGTGGGTGGGAAATCAAATCTTGAACATATTCTGCAGCCTTCGAAGGGCTGCGGGCACAGAGCGAAGCTGGGAGGACGTCATCTTTGCAATCTGGCGCATGAGTGTGCCATGCTTCTCATAGCGCCGCACGGTGGAGGCCGAGCGCCAGAGGCCTCTCTTCTGGATGGCCTCCAGAGGGCGCAGCTTGAGAGCTGCGTCGGAGCTCGGGCCTCCGTGTCGGGCACAGTGCGGCGCGACCCTGAGAGAGCTCAGCTTTACGTCGGACACGGCTTGGTTGAAGAGCTGCTCGTACTTTGCGAGGCTGATGTCAAACAGGGGCCTGCCGCGGCGGGCCTTCCTCGACGCCCAGAGCAGGGCGTCGCGGCAGATGCCCCTGTTGGCCTTGAGGCTGGCCTGGTCGCCGAAGACGATGGTGCAGTCGTGGTCCCCCGACTTGGTCGATGGGGCGGGCTGCTGGCCGTGGTCGTCGGCCTGAGGCGCGATCGTGACCACGAGGCTGGGGTAGTTGGGATTGGATCCCGCCTGGCGCTGGCTCGCCAGGCGGCTCGTGATGGCCAGGGTGTTGCTCGGCCTGATGTACCCGTCGAAGCTGACGAGCAGGGCCCCAGCGGCGGCGACCCCCTCGCGGTCTCTCTCGGCGAGGTTGTCGGCGATCAGCACCGCCGCCTCCCAGGGCAGCGGATCTCTGACGCGGTCGGGCCCTGCCTTGAACCATCCGGCCAGGGCGTCCTTGGCACGGTACATGGTGGTAGGCGATTGTCGCGGGTACTCCTTCACGAAGATCGCCCCGTGGACGGCGTTCCTGGCGTGGACGATGCTGAGCCCCTGGAAGTGCATGTGGTCGAGGTACCTCGTCATGACCAGGTCTGTCTCGTCCATGGACACACGGCGGAGGTGCTGCTCGGCCGCCCACTGGCTGAACTTGCGGCGGGCCTCGCGGTGCAAGGCGACGGT